GGGAGAGGAAAGAGCAGCACTGAAAGCCAAGTAGGCATTACTACATAGCACAGTACACATAGAGCTAACTAAAAGGAGAGCAAAGTGTTGGCCTCATCAGTGTGCTGCTGCTTCTTTGCTATATAACCATAGTCTGAAACAATCCATGTCCAAGTTGTACTGATTTAACTGCAGCAGAGGTAAAAGTGTTATTAAACCCTCATGTTTACATTGTATATCCATCACCATACCTCATGCACTTTGAATGTTCTTCTCCCCTCTGTCATTGTAGTCTGTGCTTGGCGCACAATCTTGCAACAACATTATGTATGCCTCTGTTACTTTCACCTACAGGGTGGCTGTGCAACCATGCAGGGTCTATCCTGGAGCCCCATCGTAGCCCCCCTGACATGCCTACAACAGCGCTGTACAAATTTTAAGAAGGCAAATGTAAGTCTATGGAGCAAAATACTGCTAAATAGCCTGGCAATTGTTAATAGTATAGGAGCCTCTGCTGAGTTTTATCTAAGAGAAACAGATTATATGTTCTCTCCACTGCCCTTCATTGTTGATAGTTATCCATCGTGGGGGATCAAATGTATACTGCCTCAGCAAATTACTTCCTTAGAGTTAGGGTTTTGTGTATAGTTATTTGTAGAATTAGATATGAGACAAAAATAAAATCCTAGCTCCAGGAGCTGTGAATTCCTAGTTGCTGGGATTAAAGGCTAGTCTTATCATATGCAAGTTATACCGTTCATTATGAATGATCATTTGCATTTTTTTTAATAATGGGTGTAAGTGGGGGCCTCATGTTTGAATTTTTCGCCCAAGGCCTTTACAAAGTCTAGAGCTGCCTCTGAAGAGGTGGTCAGGGACTGCGGAACCTGTTACAGGAGCTAATCAGGGATCACAAGCATGTGATAGGAGTTGTTGGAGACCACATGATTCAGGAAACCAGTACTAGAGGAGGTTATTCACTTAGCTGCCAAAGGCAGCCTAGTGAGGAACCGAACAGAAGTGAACAGACCCGAACGCTGTTCGGCTATTCACTCTAGCTCAGTACGGCTGATTCCATTGTACATCGGATGCCTTCAGGCTGCCTTGGGTCAACCAAACATGCTCTGTTCGGGCTGAGCCAAAGTGCAGAAGGAGTTCGACTCAGCCGAACCAACATCTGGATTGGCTGAAACGAGGCTTCGGCAGCTCACTCGCTGCTGTTCGCTCCTATTCTCATAGGAGCTGAACGGCAGTAAGTGAATAGCCAAATGCTGCCAAGCGGCATTCAGCTCCGCTGTTCTGCTCAGTACCTCTGAGGTAGTGAGCAGGATAGAAAAAATCTAAATGTAAAGAAACCCCAAAAGAAGCTGATGAAGCAGAGATCTCCCGCCGCATAATGAAGCATCTGACAGATGCCGCCAAAATATAAACAATCGGGCGGAGCTAGCTGCGCTAGGGGGGAGGCTGAGGAGTCTCTGGCCTAGAAAAGTGGAAGGCATGCGGGGACCCACTGAACACGGGGTCACGACCCACCATTTGAGAATAAAGGCTCTAGACAAAGCTTCCAAATGGCATAAGTTCCCTATATATAGGGGTTGTTTCGAAAGGAGATGGATATAGTAGCAAGAGAAGTTGCCAAGAAGTCAAATCAGGACAATGTGACACAACTGACTTTGATAGCAGGAAAAGGTATCATTGGTCTGAGAAATGCAGAAAACAAAATATGCCCGACTGAGCCAGATGGCACAAGGACAGTAGAGAAAAGCCCTGTTGGAAGTCAGGTGTTCCTAGGACAGGTGACAAGGGTCCTGGGATCAAGGAAACAGTGGGTCAAACCATCACCTTGTGTGCCATAATGCAAGTGTGCCCAATGAGTGAGTGGGTTTTGATGGCAGGAGGGAAGGGGCAGGTGGCAAACCAGCAAAAGAAAGGGAAGTGACCTCCTTTTCCAGATTTATCCATTGCTTATTAAGGGGTGGGGAGAGCACCACTCTAGCACTGCCTAATCCTCGCCCTACTCTGAGCCAATTTAAAGCGCAGGAAAAGGGATCGAAGATCACTCAAGAACCTCTAAGGTAATGTGATGGCTAAGGCTTGAAGGAGATAAGTAAAAAGTGGCAGTACATTCATTTTGATGATATTGATCCTCCCAAACCAGGAGAATGCACTACCATGCCATTTCTCTAGATCTGTTTTAAAGTGTGTAGCATTGGCTTAAAGTTCAGGTCGAACAACTGGGAGAGATCAGAGGAAATGTTAGTCCCCAAATATCTGATGTGGGAGTCAGGCCACTTGAAAGGGAAAGAGTTTTGAAGATGCTGGGATAAAGCAGAAGGGAGTGAGACTCCCATTGCGGTGGATTTAGAATAGCTAACTTTCCAAATTCCCAGAGAGTTGTCAAAAGGGAAGGTAGAGAAAGGTCCAGCTTGGAGAGAAATAACAGAAGATTGTCTGCATATGCTACCACCTTCTGCGGACCAAGGCGATTGGGAGGGCTGTGAATATCTTAAAAGGGAGTGTTTTAAAGTTCATCAGTAGTGTTTCTCAAAGGGATCATTAGCAATCAGAGCAGGTTTTACTTGATAAACTGTTCCCCCAAATAGCTAAACTGTTAAACTACTACAATGCTGGAATCCCCACACTCAGAGAAGGATAAGAAAAAAAGCAAGGGATATTTAAATTAGTGTGACTTTGCTGTGCAGACTTTGAAATAGGACAATCAGGATCTTCCATTTTTAGAATGGGCACACATTTTCAAGTTTTAATAATAACTATGTGCGCACAGATAATACATTTTATTCTCCTAAAATGTAAACTCTGAAGCTCTGGAGAACACATCTACAATACAAGATTAAATATGTTCCCCAGCATTAAAGGGAGTTGAAATGTCTGTTGGTATTTATAGACATGTCTAACCAGATTGCTGACACAGTGGGTGTTACTACATACTTTCTAGTTTCATAGAAACTATTATGACATAAAATGACAAGGATCTCTATAGACAAAAATTAAAATAAATAATTATGTTTAGAACAGCTAACATTATATAACATAGGTATGATTAGGAAGATGTTTTGGGGTATTAAACAGGGAACAGCTTCTACTGCATAAAAGAACATTATAATGAGTATGATTAGAACTTAAAGGAGAACTATGGGGTCAGTGTTTTTCCCCATAGTTCTCCTTAGGGTAACGGGAGGACACAAACTAGCGTCCTCCCGTTACCCTAAGCTCAGTATACCGCGAGCTACAGCTCGCGGTATACTGAGACGCCGCACCTGGAGCGGATCCCGACGTAGATGACGGGATCCGCCCAGCTGTGTGAGTGACAGCTGGCTCTGCCTATCTAGAAGCAGAGCCAGCTGTACCCGCCCCCTCCCCTGTCCGTTCTGCCAGTCAGCGCTGGCAGATCGGAGAGGGGAATCCAGCCCCTCCCCGTCACGGCAGAGAGCCGTGACAGGATCGAGAGGTGAGGGAACCCGGTATGTGTTTCCTCACCTCCCGATCTACTGAGCCGACCTGTGACAGTCTCATTGTCACAGGTCGGCTTAGAACTGTGAGGTGAGTGGAAATCACTAATCTCATAGTTCTCCTTTAAAGAAGCTTTGTGAAATGTTGGAACTTTATGGCAAATTAAACACTTTAACAACAGCTGCTCTTGAATATTTAATGAATTCTGCTGTTTTGCTGATACTCGCTCCATAGCTCTAAGTGCCAACAATCATCCCACGTTCAAAGGCTGTTAAATCACGTTGTTTACCCATATCTTCAGAAAAAAATCACTTCTACTGTCGTGGTAAACAACCTGCTTCCCTATTTATAATGGTCTGGCCCTCTAGCAAAATTATAGCTAATTTGCCTACAAACATCAGGTGGTCATAATAATCTGGCCACTCAGTGTATATTCCTCATGTCATCTGTGATTTGAAGGCAGAAGAGAAAATATAATATTACTAGTCATTAAATGAAAAAAAACAGTCATAAACAATATGTAATATTTAGGCAATAGCTGTCATGGTGTGGCCATAAAAATATAATATTTTTTGGACTCTTGCCATAAGGCATCCCAAAAAGTAATTTAACTTATTTTACTGAATGCTGTCTAGAAGCTAACACACAATTTGCATAAACTTGTTAGGTAAAATGTGTTAATTTGATCAAATGTGGGTTTGTTTGTGCTTTCCCAGCAGGGAACAATTCAGCAATGTATACCCTTCCTGGAGGTTGCAGACAAAGTGTCTCCAGGTTGGGTTTATCACCAGATTGACAAAAGTGTCACCTCACCTTGTGTGTATTTCAATCTTCAGAGTGCTTAAAAAAGGTCATATTGCATAACTCCTGACCCATACATCATATGATTGTAGAACCTCCAAGGAAGGAACGGTGGCACAAAGGTGAACCGCTTAATACCAAACATGAGGGTTTTATCTTACAGTATGGAGGAGTTCTTTATGGTATATCTGGCTCTGTTAGCCATAGAGTGCTGGAGTTTGGACTCCATGTATAGCAGAACAATAGCTGGAACCAGAACCATCACTTTCTGATCCATAATTCATAACTAGAAACAGTTATGAGGGCTGAATGATTGTGTCTGTGGGTGTGTGTGTGGGAAGAAGTGGGTACACCAAGGTTCTAGCTGAGAGGATCGCTTGGGGAATCTTAGTGGGCCTAAGGAAACCATTTAGGCTGTCACACAACCATTAGAGTACACTAGATCGTATGCGAGATTTGCATCTGCGTGTGTGCAGCCAGCTTGAGTTGGGTGAGTCTCCCTCCAGTGGTAGTGCAAGAGACTGTGAGTGGAGGTACTAACTCTGGAGGTAATTGTGCCTGGTTTAGCTAACCTGTACCTGCTAGTGAGAGCAGTGTATGTGGTCTGCAAAGCCTGTGTGCCAGTCTGCTTGAGCGCAGAGTGTACGGGCTAGGAGTGTCCGGGAGAAGGTTCCCCACAGGTCTGTAAGTTGTGGTGGTGGCAACTTAGATAGTACATTTGTGTGTGTGTTTGTGTGCTACGGCCTTACTGTCACGTCTGCGGGCTGGGAGACGTTCAGGGGGTTCTTGCGATGATCTGCTAGTGTGCTGGAAGATCTCCGAGGATGAGTGAAGGACGGCGATTGCCCATGCATTGTCTGGCCTTGCCCGCGTCCCTGTACACCATCGGCGCCCCTCCCCGGTAGCCGTCCGTGACAATAGCTAAAAAATGGCATAGAATTAGCAGAGATGATTTAGTGGCAGATGGGAGAACACTGGGAAAGTAAGAGCAGGCAAAAATGATGTGCGTTAGGAAGACATGTATTATGTTCAGACTCTCAGAAAAGTCCAGCATGTCAGGTCACTTATTTGATATCTGAATATTCAATTGGTAACCCTGTGCTTCTCTATTCGTCACTATTCCCTGGGTTGATGATACTTAATTAACTGGTCTCTGTCCTTCATAACTGTCTCACAAACTGCCATGCCTTCTCCTCTAACCTCTCTCCCTCCACCAATATACCTGATAAATGAAGCACTTACTGACCACCACCGACCCCATATACACTACCTGTCCAAGAAAATTCACCACCTGGATTTAGCCAAGCAAATAATAGCTTTCCATTGCAAAGGTTTTTCCATCAATGGATTTGTTCTTCTGACAGCACGGCATATTCCAAGATGACAATGCCAGGATTCATCTGGTTCAAATTGTGAAAGAATGATACAGGGAGCATGAGAAATCATTTTTACACATGGGTTGACACCACAGAGTCCCAACCTTAAACCCATTGAAAATCTTTGGCATGTGCTGGAGAAGACTTTATGCAGTGGTCTGACTCTCCCATCATCACTACAAGATCTTGGTGAAAAACTTTGGACTTTGGATGGAAATAAATATTGTGACATTGCATAAGCATATCGAAACGATGCCACAGCGAATATGTGCTGTATAAAAACACTGACCCCATAGTTCTCCTTTAAAGGTGGTCCAATGAAATATTAGAGTGTGTGACTTTTTTTGGACAAGTAGTGTATGTTTTTCACTGCATTCTTGTACTGAGTTAGCTTCTTTTGCACTCTATCCAGATCTCCTTTTTGGTGCGTAGGGCTGTGCATTCATAACCTTGTCCACACAGTTGATGTCACACTATCACATTTTAGCTGAACATTGCAGTTCTCGCTCCAGGGCTTTTGCTCACACCTAATCCTCAGTAGTGCCGTCACGGATGTTAAACAAATGTTTTTAAAAATGATCAACTAAGGTAATGTGTTTTTAAAACCACACTGATGAAAATAATGAAAATATGAAAAAAAAATCACTCTAGATTGGTGTTTACTTAATAATGGTATTGTGCAATCTTTTTAGTATTAAAGATGAACATTTAAGGCCCCTTTCAAACCTGAGCATTTTGTAGCTTGAATGCATCACAACACTTAACTGGAGGAATCCCATTGTTTTCAATGGCCCCTGCTCACATCTGAGCATTCTGTCTCTGGTCGAAAAAACACCTGTAGCTCGAAAACGTGGGAGTGCCTTAAAAACGCACAAAGGCATGTAATGCACATTTTTTTTGCCTAATATCTATCTCTGCATTGGCAAAAAAAAAGTTGAAGCATGAAATGCTTGGAAAAAAAACCCTTTAACCAGTTGCCGTCCGCCCGTAGAAAAAAAAAAACGGACGGACGGCTGACTCGCATCAGCGGGTTGCCGTCTCCAGACGGCATTTTTTTCCTGCTCGTGCGCGCCCCCTAGTGCGTGTGCACGGGCAGGATAGACCTGCTAGTTTTTGCAGCCGTTAAAAGCTGTTTCACATACAACCGATCAGCGGCTCTATAGCCGCCGATCGGTTTTATGGCGTGATTTTTTTCCTTAAAATATTAAAAAATTAAAACCCCAGTGGTGATTAAATACCACCAAAAGAAAGCTCTATCAGTCCCCAAAAAAGGGTATAAAATTAATTTCAGTACAGTGTTGCATGACAGAATAAATGTCAGTCAAAGTACCGCAGCGCTGAATACTGAAAAATGGCCTGGATGGGAAGGGGGTTTAACAATGGTTAATAATGCCTGAAAAAATACCCAAAGATGCTCAGCTCAGGTGTGAATGGGGTTTAAAAGCTCTTCAGTTTGTTTGGGTAAGCTTTGCAAATGACAGAGAAAAGCTGATTGGTTACTATAGACAACTGCCCCAGATTTAGTCTTCTTAAATTTTGATAAATTCCCCTTACTTTAGAAAGGGACAGCTGTGTGCCAACTTATCCCCTTCGTGGCGGGAGACGTACACTGTACGTCCCGTCACAAAGTGCCTATATGACTGTACACTGTACGTGATGAGTTATTTAAGGCTCTGTAATGCCGATAACCGCTGATTCTCAGCGGTTACCAGTCATTAATGAATGCCTTAGTATTGAGGCATTCATTAATTAAAAAGTTAAGCTTTTGTAAAAGCTTCTTTCTTTCATTAATGAAAGAATGAAGCCGTTACATGCAAATACGGGATTGCTAAATTGCAATCCTGTATTTGACAGCTGAAAAAAGCAGAGAGGTAGCAGAGTTCATCACCGCTCTGCTAATCCTTTTGACAGCTCGATAGCCCGATGTTTATGATACAATGCATCTCTTTGCCTGAAATGTATCACTTCTGATCGTCTAGGCACGATCAAAGACCTTTAGTGAGATCTGAATCTGACATGCTGTCAGGATCAGTCTCTAGGGTTATTATTAGCTGTTCCTAAGTTTGGATCAGCCTAATAGCCCAAAATTAAAAAAAGTTAATTTATCAAGCAGTCATAGTGACTGCATGATATAAACTGACAAAAAATAAAACAAACATTTTTTTCACTTTATTTTTTTTTACAGTTTGTAAAAAAAAAAAGTGTAAAACAAAATTAGGTAAATAAAAATGATATATAAATATATTTTTATACTATAATTATTATAAAACATTTCTAAAAAAATTATAATAATCAAAACATGTGAAAAAAGTGTTTCTTCTAGTTTTTTTCCTCATTTTGTTTTTATATTTTATTGAAACTAAGTGAGGCGTTAGGGCTATATAATTATATCAAACATGTGTACCTATCTGTCCTCTAAAAAAAACAATATATAATATGTGTGGGTACATTTAGTAAGAAAGTATATTACTGCTGTGGAAGAATCACACAGCAAAAATTTAAAAAACTAGCTCAGTCATAAAGGGGTTAATTAAAAGTTTATGTTCACATGTTCCACCTTTTCCTAATAGAATCAACAGTACTACCCACCCTTGTATAATTATTCCAATAATCAGGGAGTGTATGTAAATTGATTAATGTAGTATAATAAGCTTTTACTGCACAAGGCTTCTCTGAAACAGGAAGGCTTCATGCTCTTTGGACATGTCAGTACCGACATATGGGTTTCCCAGCTCCACTGCTCATGCCCAACTAACAGGTTATGTTTTTTTTCACCTGCAATTCCAGGTGACAGCGCAGGTGTGCTCACATGTAACTTTAAAAAAAATCAACATATTTTATTTAATTTTTCCAAAAGTTTAGTCTTACAAGCATTGCAAAAAAGGTATGAAAAACCAGGTTACAACATACAAACGGTCCTATTGTCCAGGACCAACTTATAGTAAAGCCTTAACCACTATGTGCTGGTCGCCCCCTAAAAGGACTACAGTGTTCTGCTTATGGTATTCAAAGTCGTATATATGCTTTTAGCTGATCAACGTATTTTCCCAAATCCCCAGGTCATTAGAGAGCTGTGCAGTAAGGTACCATGCGGTATGCTCAAGATGTCTCATTAGTTGAGCAATATCTCGAGCACTGAACATCTTACTAAAAAAGTCCTTCCATCTACGGAAGAAGAATTTTGTCCTCAGGTCAGCCTCGAATCTTTCCCTATGAAATAGAACTTTTAGTTCTCCCACAACCTCCATAACGGTTGGACAATTTGTATTGTTCCACTGTCGCATTATGCATTGTATTGCAGCAATAAGGCAAATATAAACCCATTCCACACCTCTACGCTTACGAGGGCCAGGTCCGCCCTCCAATGAATTGGAAACACTAAACAAGAAGAGAAGAGGGTCCAGTGGAGGTGTCCAAGCTACAATGTCCTGTATTAGTACCGAAATTTGGTGCCAAAAAGTGTGTATGGCTGGACAAGTTCAGTAGCAATGAGCCAATGTAGGGAGCAACAAGCCACATTTCGGGACGTTGAAGTTAGCTGTTGTGGAGACGAATCCTTCGAGAAGAAGTATGGCACATACAGTGAGGAAAATAATTATTTGATCCCCTGCAGATTTTGTAAGAAAGGTCTATCATAGGTGTATTTTAGACAGACAGACGCTGATCTGTCTCTGCATGCAAGTGGCCAGAGCCAACCGTGAGATGACGGCTGGCTCCGCCAAGCTGTCAGTAGCAGGTTGTCGGCCAGCCGTTCCAGCTTCGGCTTTCACCTCGGCTCAGTTGAGCCGAAGCATATGCCTTCGGCTCGACTGAGCCGCTCGGCCAACTTCGGGAGCTGTACGGGCTCAAGTGAATAGCCCGTACAGCAGCCCTTCAGTTCTACTCAACCGAAGGGGTCCTGGGGCCGAAGCTAGCCGAAGGATCAGCCGAAGCTATGGCTAGATCCTTCGGCAGCTTTGTGAATAACCCCCATAGTACTATGTGTCCTCAGTTATGAATGAACAGGCTGTGATTTACATCACAGCCTGTTCATTCATGAATTTCTGAATGGGGAGTAGCACTCCCTATGGAGGCTTCTCCCCATTCATAAACTGCTTGATAGTAAATATTTTACTATCAGCAGTTTCTGAATGGAATGGGAAGCCTCTGTACTGAGTGCTTCCCATTCATTGAGTGCTGAGGCTGCAGAAAAATACATTGAGGATTTGGTGTCCTCAATTTCTTTTTCTATTTCAAAAGGGAAATGTCAGGGGTCTGTTTAGACCCCAGAGATTTCACCGTAGCCCCCCCAACAGTAAAAAAAATAAATACAAAATTATTAAAAAATAAATAAAAAATGTTAAAAAAATTAAAATAAAAAAATGTAAAACAAAATAAAATTATTTAAAAAAAATAAAAAATGTGTAAAAAAAAAAAAATAATAAAAAAAAGCACAACCCCTCCCTCCCCCCACATAACACACACATATTGTGGTGCAC